CCAAATTATAGTACAGTGAGAATTGGCAGTTTCAGTATCCTGATGAATTACAGTGTCTCTTTAGAGCTTATTGTCAAATATTTTAAGCAACATATTCTTGTCATGCAGTAAAGGGGAGACCGTCAATGCTCTTTGAGTATAATATTATAATCATTCATATAAGATGCGAATAACGACAAAGAAAGGCTTTCTTGAAAATTATCAGAAAGATTTATGTCTAATTGTGTGGATTAAAAATTGGACTTTTTTAATATAGTAATGACAGTAATCTCCATCACAAAAATAGTTTTAACTTATTTTTTCAGATGCTGAGTCATCACCCGAACGCACTACAGTACATAGACGGCATTGGAGTGCACTATTATACTGATAAGTTTACCTTATTCTACCTGCTATTTTTGAAATAGTAACTTTAACTCATCCTTATAAGTTTATTTTGGCCACAGACGCTTGTGAAGGTAATATTTGTTTAATACTTTCTTGAATTCACGCAAATATTTGACGTTTTAAATAAGGAAGTGATTATTCGCCCGAGCTACGGGTCCACGGAAAAATTTCCCTAAAAATTTTCAGAGTTTTTACATTTGCCTATAAGTTTTCAAAAACAAATTATGTGATGTGCACTGCACCTGGAATGTTTGCGGACGCGCATGTTGATGATTTTGCAGCAATTAGGAGGAAATGAGCCGCTTCCCTTCTGAGGTTGCGGAATAGCACTAACAGTGTCTTAAGTATAATTTTTAATAAATAGTGCCTTTTTATTCATAATTAAATAAAATAAACCTGTTATCTAGAATACCTGACAAAATAACTGTGGATTGTTCTGGAATAAATTATTATTTATGTTATAATTAAAATAAGATAAATATTTATAAGCTACTAGCGACTCACCCTCGCTTCGCTCGGGTTAGTCCCTAGCTTGCTTCCCAATACAAACATTCATCCCCATTTACACCCCCTTAGGGATGATTTCCGGGACTAAAAGTTTTTATTTTCTATTCTTTGTCCTTCCCAGGGTCTTAACTATCTTCTGACCAAATTGCATCTAAATCGGTTCAGTAGATCCAGAGATTAGTACCCCCTACAATGTCACAAACTCATAATCTCACAAACTCACAAACTTTACATCTTTATAACATTAGTATAGATTATGAAATAAGAAATATAGCCGGGAATTTCGAGTATGTGATGTTGTGGATGGAAAATGTGATGGTAAAAAATAAGTTTGGTGCGAGATAGCGTTCTTACTTTGTCTGGGTTTGTAATTTGTTTTGTCTGCTTTGACGCTTTTATATAAATAAATTACATTCAGATTTTTTTTATTATTCTACCATTGAGTCATACAAAGTTTTGGCAGTTTTTTTTATCGGACAATAACATTCTAGTACATTTTGCATGTTTATCGATAGTCTAAATAAGGGGCTGCACTGAAGATAACCATGTAAAATTATTATCTTTAGTAAATCCCCTGACAAACAATTTCTGACAAAAGCATTTCTCATTATCATTTCCAATAATAGGTCGTTGAAGCTATAAAACACTCGAATACTATTATTATTAGGTATTTAATGAACTAAACTACTGAATTATTTGTCTGTTTTTGTTGTCATAATACTCAAAAACAGCTTAAAAATACTATAAACAAAAGCTATAAACCTATCATATTTAGAAAATTATATAACTTACAAGTAAGCTTGTTGATGCAACCAGATCGTAAAGATATTTATTAATTACTGCTATGGATGCTGCATTTTAACATAAAGTCATGATATCTTAGGTGTGTAAATAAAAGGTTTCATCCTAAGTTTTCAGTATATAAATAATAAAAACGACTAAGTACTTGTTGACTTGAGCCCCGAGGAATTTTCTTGAAACACTGCCAACTTCCTAGCTCCGGGCTGTGGCTGAGAATTTCTTAATAGAAGAACTCAATAAATAAACTTGACAAAATCCGGGAATCGAACCCAGGGTCTTTGAATCTGCTACCATATATGCTAGCCACTAGACCACCTGGGCATATTATATATAGCTGTATTAGCAGAACCCGCAGCTTCGCTCGCGCTAAAACTACAAAAAAAATATCTAAAAAGGTAGTTTCATACAAAATTTCATCCCCTATTTAACCCCCTTATAGGACGAATTTCTAAGAATGCTAAAACACGTATTTATTTATTTGTATTGAAGAGCATTAATGCCAAGTTTTAAGTATTTCACATTTATATTATAACGTGTTTTCCCGTGGGAATGAGATGATATCCCGCAATAAAAAGTATAGTCTATGTCACCCTCTTTAACTATCTTCACACCAAAAATCACGCCAATCCGTCACTCCATTTTGATGTGAAAAAAAGACAAACAAACTCCCAAACAAACAAACACTTTCACATTTATAATATTAGTATGGATATATATACGTTTTGCTTATGTACATAATTTAATACTCAGACGAAATTACATCTTAATTATGTGATTTAACATAAGTCTATACCACGCGTTATATAGTAAGAGGTCATATTTTGATAAATAGATATTTAGATAAAATGAATTTTTTTTAGGTACAGGCGTCGGTTGACAGGCTTGTGAATACATATGTTAAGTAAACACTTATTGTATACTAGCATTGCCCGCGGCTCCGGCCGCATTCAGATGACCAAAAACCAAATTCTTAGCTTTTACATATTAGTATACTCTTACGTTGCAGTTTTTGTATTTTTATTCAGAAATAAGATATTTTCCCGTGGTAAAAAGTATCCTATATGTTGACCCGGATGACCAGCTATCACCATACCAAATTTCATTAAAATCCCTTCAGTGGTTTTTCTGTGATGCGGTAACACACAGACAGACAGACAGACAAAAATTCTAAGAAACTATATATTCGGCCTCTGTATCGATAATAATGTTTATTTCAATAAAATTTCCAAAAAAATATTTAATGTACAGATTCGGCTTAGTTACAATTTTATTATATATAGATTTTCCATCTGTTCCTGGAAGTGCGATTTAAAAAGTCCTTACAAGAATTTAGCAGTCTTGTAAGTATTCATAGAACTCACCTTGAGCGCTACGCGACTCACAAATTAAAATAAACTTTGCTACGTACAGTCTGAATCAGCGTAGGTATTTCTTAATCAATATAAATACAAAGGTTTTCAATTACTTATTTTAAGTTTTAAATAGAAATCGTTCTGACAAAATACAATAGTATGTATTATTTGTTTTAACTATAAAACAATGAAAAGAGAAGATGATATTAAATGTATAGATTAAAAAATATTGATTTAAAATAAAAAAAACTACGTAAATACTTAATAAAATATTTATTCCTGTTTTAAAACTACATTAAAACACATTATCTTCTGCAAACACACACTCTGTTAACATTGCAGCCGCTCCACCTGAAGCCGAGCGCTGCACACACGTGCGCGCATAGGGCGGGCGTGCAGATGCGGTTACGCTGGGCGGCTCCCAGCAGAGCCTCCTGCGGGCTCAGTATAGTGGGGCGCGTGTCCACGTTATCGATGAATATTATATCTGGTAATAACGTATTTTATTTGAAACTATATAGGCGCTGAGATATACGAAAGCCAAAAGAAATAAGGTGTAGAGAGTAAGTAAGGACTGAGGAGTAATAATTATTCAAGGTGCCAAAATTATTCGTAACTTATGCTTATTACTTATAATATAACTAATTTTTATCAAAAATAGAGTCGAATTTGAGATTTGAAATCTATATAAAATATTAAATAATCTTACCAGGTAGTTCAATGGTTTCACTCGCAGGTGGCGTAGCTTGTGCTACGAGCAGTAGTGCAGACAGGGCAACTAAGAGAGGGAAGGTTTTGATCATCATGATGCTTACTTGACGTTAGCTTTTGTATTATGCTGTTACTGCTATACTGTTGCTATTTATACTAAGTACGATCAAGATAAAAAATGTTTTGGAGTGACACACACAATTATATCCTTATCTGAAACATACTTATTTGTAGTTTATTGCATTTCTTTTAAGTATAATTAATTATTGCACTGATAAAAATTAGAACTAAATCTGATTTCAGCACAACTTATTGATAAAGGGTATTTTTGTATTATCAACATTTCTTCAAATTGCTTCAAAACTACGCGACTAGCTGTTGACCGATTTTTACATTTAAATACTGAAAATCTTACATTATGAAGATTCGTAACCTATTTTATATTACTTTTATTATTGATTTTGTTGTCTTATTTGATACTAGCAGTTTCTCTAGCTTTGCTCGTGTTCAAACTACAAAAAAGTCAACCTTTGGCTTAATTCAGAATTAATAAGACAGCATTAATATCGGCTTTCAGGTATTTCTGATCATAAACAATTTTTTCCCATATAAACATTACCACCCCACCCTCTTTTGATTCTTTAAGTGGTGAGTTCGAAAAAAAATTTAATACATATTTATAGCACTTACGAATGTTTTTTTTTTAATTTTACAGCTAAATACCACTTTCCGTGCATTTCACATTAGAAGTGACAGACTTTCAGACAATCTTTCATCCCCTTTTTTACCCCTTTAGGGGATGAATTTCGAAAAATTGTTTCTTATCGAATGCCTATATATAGAGATTACATACTCCAAATTTTACGTTTTTGCAACCGCGGCTTAGCAGGACACAGCCATTATATAAATATCTTTATATATATATACTGTTCCTATTCTGACGCGTCATAGTTTCGTAAGCTGACTAAATATGTTAACTCTAGTTTCAGACTTAATTAATTTAAAAAAAGTTCATAAAATGCTTGAATTATTAATTATAATAGAAATTATAAAAAAATAAGAATTCATTTTACTAAGTTACTAATATTCCTTACAAATTATTTTGATATACATATACATTATGCAGTTTTCCGTCTATGCTACCTCTATCTTTCTATTACAATAGTCCTCATAGGTACCTACAAAATAATACGAGTGTGACACATTACTAGGAAAAACTTGATTAACTTGATTACGGCTTATATGAATAGCTTCAGTGTAGCATTTAATATATGTATAGTTGAAAAGCTAATTTCTAGTAATCAACATGGTAATCAAAATCTTCCCTTACAATATTACAATTTTGTAATTAACTACTGTGATAGTATCCAGTTTCTTTTCTTATTTACTTTACTTATATTGCATGTAATAATACTTCATACGCTTTAAATATTTATTTCATTAATTTAAAATATTATTTTCATATGTTAGATATGCTGCTATAATTATCGGATACTTACATTGAACATATCACATACTCGTACATAGAAAATCAATTGATTTTTTTTAATATGAACAAAAGTAACATATAATTTAATATTTTCAGATGTATCGTATATTGAGGACCCCGGCGCGTTCCCGGCGGTGCTGATCGCGCAGGAGGCGCCGGGTCCGGTCCAACGTGCGTGCAACCCTGTGCAGTGCGCGCGCTTGTGTCACTCGTTGGGCTTCAGGTTGGTTTGCTGCACTATCAGAGTGTGTGCTTGTGCTAGATAACTAATGCCTTGTTAAATAAGATACAGAATATAAATAAATATGATACTATGCAGTAGTCATTTTTTTTCTCTCTCTCCTGCAATAAAAATATAGAATATATAAATTTTAAGACAATAAAATATATACTTTTGTTTTATAGTGAAAAATAAATATCTATATATAAATAGGTAAGGACAAAAAGTTCAGTACATTTTTCTTCTCTGTTTGTCAAGCGATTTAGATTTTTATCGATAATTTAAATGATTTACAATTATTGTTGTCGTCAGTAGGTACATCCTCTGAAAATTAATCTTCATTGATTTTAAATAGTATATTTTATAGATAAAGCGGATTATAGGATTCGATATTGTATAAAAGTTATAAAATAGAATGTTATTATGAATAATAGTTTAATAATAATTTATTGAGCAATAAACAACATAATATACAGTAAACAATATCCTATCAAAAACATAAATGTGAAAATGGGAGCTAAGTTGACTATTAAGAATACGCATGGTTGTGAACTTCACTGACAAAAGAATTCGAGATCTTCAAGAGTGCCAAGTTCTGTAGATAATCCAAATTTTTTTTCATAAGAACATACAACATTCTAAAATAATTTTAAAACACAATTTCTTGTTTTCTCTGCAACGAAAGTGTTTGCTATTTAAAAATAGAACTTCTTAAATTTGAACAGTTGAATTATTTGCACAGATTAGATATCTTAGGATAAATTAAAGTTCAAGATTTGACTTGCTTAGTTTTTGCCAGTAAAGCAAGTTTTTAGAAGAGTGAGACATGTTGACCTTACAATATAAAAACAGTGACTTGTGTATAGCATAAAGAAGATATAAGTGATTAGGCGAATATATTAAGATAACTTGTGAGATATTTTACAAAAAAATGTTTATTATTATTTCTATTTGATAATTATCTATATACAAAAAGAATAGTAAGAATAGTAAGAATGTATGGTTGTACAAAAAAGAATTACTTTTTCTTAATACTAAATAATAAAATACACGTCTTTTTGCCATTAACTTTTAGAATTTGACGACACGTTTGGCTCAGTTGGTAGTGACCCTACTTGATGTGCCAGCGGTCGCGGGTTAGAGTCCCGCTGGGGGCATTCATTAGTGTGATGAGCACGAATGTTTGTACCCCAGTCATGGGTGTTTATATTTATAATATGTTTGTATTTAAAGTTATACATATATGTGTAGTGTATCAACTATCTGGTATACATAACACAAGCTTCGTAGCTTACCATGGAACTTGATTGGCGCTGTGTGTTAATGTCCCAACATTAAAAAAAAAAATAAAAAAAAAATCTAGTCTACAGAATTTAAAATCTATGATATTCAAGTTTATAGATTTAAATAAAAGATAAACATTGTACATATTTAATTTATTAAAAAGAAGATGAAAAGAGATGTAATTCTACATTCGTTGAATAATTAAAATCTAAAATCCCGATCTATGTGGTAGATCCTTCATTCTTTTTCAAGAGGTTCAAAGTTTTCTCTTCACGTATTAATTTAGATAATAATAATAAAATTTAGATAATCGTATATGTATTACTTGTTTTGACTAACAAGGATGATAGAAGATAATACATGTATATATGTATAGACTAAAAAATATTGATTTAAACTAAGTGAGTACTCAATAAACATTTATTTCTGTTTTAAAATTATATTAAAAACACATTATCGTCTGCAAACGCATACTCTATTAGCATTGCAGCCGCTCCACCAGAAGCCGAGCGCCGCACACACGCGCGCGCACAAGACAGGCGTGCAGATGAGGTTACGCTGGGCGCTTCCTAACAGAGCCTCCTGCGGGCTCAGTATAGTGGGGTGCGTGTCCACGTTGCCGATAAATATTATATCTGGAAATAGCACATTTCATTTGATTCAATGTATGTGTGGAAATATACAACAGCTAAAACAAATGAGGAGTAGAGAGTAAGTAATGAGTGATCATTCAAGGTGCCAAAATTATTCGTAACTAATGCTTATTACTTACAAAATAACTAAATTTTATAAAAAAAATAGAGTCGAATTTGAGATTTGAAGTCCAAATAAAATACTAAATTAGACAGTCTTACCAGATAGTTCATTGGTTTTACTTGCAGGTGGCGTAGCTTGCGCTACGAGCAGTAGTGCAGACAGGGCGACTAAGAGAGAGAAGGTTTTGATCATCATGATGCTTACTTGACGTTAGCTTTTGAATTATGCGTTTGGTGCAATATTGCTGCTATTTATACTAACTATTATCAAGATAAATAATATAATTTATGAAGCACGCGCTATAACCTTATCTTTTTTGGAGATATAAAAAATATAGTTTCATAGAAACTGGTAAAAATAGCAAAATACGATATATTCATTTTATACTTTATTTTGAAAGACAAAAAGTTTAATGAATGTTTAAATTTAAAATGATTAAAATACTGCAAAATACGTTAAATACGAAATTATAGTTACTTACATATTATTATTATTACGAACCAACAAGCTAACTATTTAGTTAGTTAATTGTTGTTAAGTTTAAAAATTGTATTGAACTGACAAAATTCGTTATGTCATTCCCATAGGTATATTATTTTATAGTAGAAGATTTCGACGTATGTGGTGGACCCCACACTCTCTTTCTAGACGAAATATATTTTTTAAATTATAAAACATATTAACAAACACGACTCATGGGGATTGACACCAAAAATTAGCTTGTTTGTTCAATGTTCATTATTATAATATGTAAATAATTACAATTTCGTATTTAACCTAGTTTGTAGTATTTTAGTAACTTTGCATTAAAATATTAATTATAGTTATTGTCTTTCTAAATTTAGCATATAATAGATATATCGTATTTTGCGATTTTTATCAGTTAATCTATGAGACTATATTTTTTATTTCTGCATAAAAGATAAAGTCGTAGCATGTGCTTCATAAATTATATTGTTTATCTTGATAATAGTTAGTATAAAATAGCAGCAGAATTGCACCACACGCATAATTCAAAAGCTAACGTCAAGTAAGCATCATGATGATCAAAACCTTTCTTCTCTTAGTCGCCCTGTCTGCACTACTGCTCGCAGCGCAAGCTACGCCACCTGCGAGTAAGACCAATGAACTATCTGGTAAGACAGTCTAATTTAGTACTTTATTTGGACTTCAAATCTTAAATTCGACTCTATTTTTTATAAAATTTAGTTATTTTGTAAGCAATAAGCATTAGTTACGAATAATTTTGGCACCTTGAATGATCAATCATTACTTACTCTCTACTCCTCATTTGTTTTAGCTGTTGTATATTTTAGCACATACATTGAATCAAATGAAATGTGCTTTTTCCAGATATAATATTTATCGGCAACGTGGACACGCACCCCACTATACTGAGCCCGCAGGAGGCTCTGTTGGGAGGTGCCCAGCGTAACCTCATCTGCACGCCTGTCTTGTGCGCGCGCGTGTGTGCGGCGCTCGGCTTCTGGTGGAGCGGCTGCAATGCTAACAGAGTGTGTGTTTGCAGACGATAATGTGTTTTAATGTAATTTTAAAACAGAAATAAACATTTTATTGAGTACTAACTTAGTTTGAAATCAATATTTTTTACGTATATGTATAATGTTATCTTCCATCATCCTTGTTAATTAGTCAAAACAAGTAATACATACGATTATTTGTCACAAATATTTGTATACTATACTAATATTATAAAGAGGTAATAAAATTTATGAGTTTGTGATTTTGTGAGTTTGTGACGTTGTAGGGGGTAATCTCTGGATTTACTGAACCGATTTAGATGAAATTTCGTAAGAAGATAGTTTGAGACACCGGGAAGGATATAGAGTACTTTTTATGATGAAAGATTGTATGGGGAATAAAGCTAGGGACGAACCCGAGCGAAGCAAGGTTGAGTCGTTAGTTAAGATATAAAATTAATCAGTGGAAGCATTTGTATTCACATTGATTAGAAAAAATCGACGCTGACGACTAAGGCTATGATATTAAGCAGCAAAAGTTTAGACTACAGATTCAACTATTTTTTAATAGTTATTTTGTAAGTAATAAGCACTATAGTTCATTCGCGTTAAGAAAATAGTGAGTCATCGATGTCCACCGACCTAGCCACGCCCCTCGACAAATTAGATTGCATAAAATTATAAAGTTATATTTCACAATGACCAGTTGACGGCCGTGCCCGTCTGTCTTATTTGCTCGACTTGGCGGGGCCACTGCCGTGCCCCCATATATATAGTAACATAAACATAAGTTACATGTTTTAAAGATTATTTATTTATTTGCTGAACACAAAGTTCTTAAAACATTATAACCTATTATCTAAAAACGTAATACAAAATATAATAAAATGTTTAACATTTGAAGGTGTCACAACACCATCAAATTAATAATTATTGATTACTGGCTATAATCTACCGAAAAATAATGCGTTAAATTATAAACAGTGTGTTACAGTTCAATATTTTTCAACAGTTTACAATCTCGCCAGATAGATTATAATCTAACGGTATTTTCAACTTTACGGTGACATATGCATCCTATATGAAAAAGTTAAACTACATCTACATTAAAGTATAATAAGTATATAGTGAAAAATATGACCTTAATATATTATAATACAATATTGATACTTATAAGTCTAGCTAGTACACAACGTTTTAAAGTTAAAAAATATACTAATAAAAGCCTTTGTTAAAAGGCTTTGATGTCTAAAAATTCTTTTGTTTTTTTTCATTTATTAAACTATTTATAATTCTTAATTAATAATTTTTGCATTAAATTATAATATAAATTATAATATTCTAGTAATTGTAAAGTATTTAATGTCTGGGCCTGAAGCCTGAGCCTGAATTTAAGTTACATTCGTAAAAATGGCGATTTCTATTAAGGGTTAATGTACATCAATCTTTCGTTATAACTAATATAAAGAACTCTCGTGCATTTCATGTTTTTATACAAGCAGTTTAGTGCGTTGCCTGTCAGGGAATGAATGAATGATTTTTTTAAATAGCGTTGTATCACCCTCAATTCGTTCAGAGGTGTCTTTAGATGCTATTGGTATTTATAATATTAGTATTCAAGTATTCAAAATAAACGTTTTTTCGATTTGATCAATAAATATTATTATTACACCGGTACCCTATTTTCTAAAATGTTAAAAAAAATAGCTATGTAATAATTTGTTACCCTGTTATTATTTAGATGTTAGATTATAACGTGTTTTCCCGCAGGAATTAGATAATCTCCCGCAGTAAAAAGTAGCCTATGTCACTCTCCAGCCCTCCAACTATCTCCACACAAAAAATTAAGCCAATCCGTAACTCCGTTTCGACGTGAAAGAAGGACAAACAAACAAACACACTTCCACATTTATAATATTAAGTATGGATATATATATTATACAATAAGGGTAGAAAAATAAAATAATCAAAATATTTTTTAAATTTATATTTTAAGCTCTACAATAATATATTATGCCCTGTTGTGGCAAATGCACGCATTTGCTTGTGTACAGCTGCCGTTGTTGAAGCCCAGTGTTCGACATACTGCCCGACATATCGTCCTGCAAATGGTGTTTCGCTGGACAGGTGCAGCCAAATCCTCTATGGGACTGAGGCCAGTGAGATACGGTTCTAGATTTTCAATATACAATATATCTAAAACAAAGTACAGAAATCTAGAATTTGTCATTTAAGTACATGTAATTATAATTAGTAAATATTTTGTGTTTATTTGTAGAGTTGGTGCTAAATGTCGCGATGTATACAAGAAATTATCACTCGTCTATACATATAATAAAATTCTGAGTCGAATCTATACATTAAATATTTTTTAGAAAATCTTATTAAAACGGTCATTATTATGAATACAGAGGCCGAATCTAAAGTTTTTAGAATTTTTGTCTGACTGTCAGTGTGTGAGAAAACCACAGGACAGATTTTAATGAAATTTGTATTGATGATAACTGGTTATCCGGGTCATAATTAAGTATACTTTTTACTACGAGAAAGTATCTCATGTTTGAGGAATCTATACTAACTTTAAAACGTATGTATCTAACGGCTACATTAACGGCTTGGCTGAACACGAGCGGAGAGATGGTGAGTCGCTTGTATGTTTATATAATAAGAAAAGAAATAATACTTATTGGCAAGTGAATTTGGCATTTTTTTAAACGTTTGTAATAATTTTAATAAGGTTATTAGTTAAAAAACATTTGAAACAGTTGTTCGGAAATAGAGAGTTCCGCAGTTCTTACAATAAAACTTTTCTCTCGATTTATATGTGACCTCGAAATTTATATATGACCTCAAAGGTGGCATATACTCGTATATATTTTTTGAAATTTGGACAGGATAAAGTTTTTGTGTCAGCTAGGTATAAAAGTAATTAACAATTTTGGAATTAAAGTAGTTCACGATTATAACCGGTAGTTAAGATGAACCATTTAAACGAAAAAGCACCATATAATTTTTTTCTACATCTATCAGAAAGTAGTATATTTAATAATTAAAATTTAATTAAAATAATAAATAAAGCAGTTAATAGATTTTTTTATTCTCACCGGTTGGCTTATCATTTTCACTTGGAGCAGCTTGCACTATGAACAATAGTGCGGAGAGAACAATTAAGAGAGAGAAAATTCTGATTGCCATAATGGTTACTTGATGTAAGCTTTTTAACTGTAAATAAAATAAAGCATCGCTGCTTTTTATATAACCCAATATCAAGATATTCGTAAATATCAATTTTATCGCTTTATCTACAATTTTATATTCTACTTTATCGTACATTCGTCCAAAATGCTGAATAAAAACAGATAAAAATTACTTTCTGAAAATAAATATTACTTTACAACTTTGGTAATTTTTCAGATGTCATGAAAAAATAGTTATTTTAATTGTATAATAAAAATTTTACTTTGATGATACTAGATCTTAGAAACACCTTCCATGATCTTGATGTCTTACGTAGCATTCTAACTACGAGTATCTTAGTAGTTTTGTTGTCACAGTTACAGTCTGGATGTGACTGAAAGTGGATTGACATGATACTCACATTATCATTGATCTACACTAATGCCGGAGTTCCACGATGTGTTGTTTTTTATTATAAATACTAGCATTGCCCGCGGCTCCACCCGCGTTCAGATGACCAAAAACCAAATTCTTAGGTGTTACATATTAGTATACTCTTACATTGCAGTTTTTGGTATTTTTCTCAGAAATGAGATATTTCTCCGCAACAAAAAGTATCCTGTATGTTGACCCGTACAACCAGCTAACATCATACCAAATTTCATCAAAATCAAAAGTGGATTTTCTGTAATGAGGTAACAGATAGACAGACAGACATACAAACAAACAAACACAAAAATTCTAAAAACTATTGATTCGGCCTCTGTATCGATAATAATGTTTATTTCAATAAGATTTTCCAAAAAATATTTAATGTACACATTCGGCTTAGTTACAATTTTATTATATGTATACATATTAAAATCAAATGAAATAATCAAAATATTAACATTAAATGAAGAAACATAATTGTACTTTTTGTTGTATTATTTTTGACCATGATCAGACTGATACTGTTTCCTAAATACTTGTAATATATATTTCTATATTTTTCACCAAACTTCAATTGCACAGCCGTAATAAAAAATAATGCCATATGTTACCCTTAGTGTGCATGAATCCGTTAAGTGAAGAATGTCCAATCATCCAATGTACATACGTATATTACCTACTGGCTAGATACGTAAAATGAATTTACACACTGGTTTTTAAGTATTAATTAATTATTTTGAATGAGTAATTTTACTTATTAAAGGAGTAAATTTTTACAAAATTTTCTTATGGTCCAGGTATATTTATTATTATTTTTACATTTCTATGTTTTGTAAGTCTTAAGATTTCGTGATCAGTCAGAGTTTGTGGAACTGAATATATTATACATTATACAATTATTCACTATGTCATTAACTATATTAATTTATTTAATAGCTTTAATTAGATTTCTGAAAACATTTTTAACAATAAATAAGTAAAAAAATAACGATTTTTCTAAGTTAAAAATATTTGTATTTAAAAACATTATCTTTTTAGACACTACTTTTTTAATAAAATTATTTATTTTAAGAATATAATAGAATATAGATGTAGGAATTATATTAATATCAGATTAATTTCTGCAAACACACACTTTGTTTGCATTGCAGTGACTGAACCTAAAGCCAAGCGCAGCACACACGCGGGCACACAGTACAGCTGTACACACGCGGTTGCGTTGGACGGGACCCAATAAAGCCTCCTTTGGGCTTAGCACAGTAGGATTTGTGTCTGGATTTTCAATAAACAACATGTCTGGAAACAATAAAGAAAAATTATAAAGCAGTATGTTGTTGTATTTAATTAAATTAGGATAAAAAACAAATAACTATTTTCTATATAACAAAAGCAGCAAAATAATTTTAAATATATACTTCAAAACATTCATCTTATCCCTCTATTTATAAAAAAAATATTGAAATCGATTATGAATTATTCAAAGTACGAGTACAGAGTTAAAGTATTGAAAGAATGTTGCTTACCGGAAGACGAATTTTTTTCACTTGAAGTCACTTGTGCTACGAACAGCAAAGAGAGCAAGTAGCGTAGGGAATATTTTCATTGCCATGATGCTCGTGTTTAGCTTTTCAATTATAAATGTTGTGCTTTATTAATGCGAGTATCTATACCACATCCAATTATTACTAGTATCACGATAATAATATTTCCCAAGTGATGTGCAACTTTTTCCTTTATCGTCGTTATATTACATTATTTCGTTTAATCAGTTAAAATATTACATTATAAAGGATTTATCAGGTATATTTCTTTATTAAAACAAATTTGATAACCATATAGTTCTTTTTTGTTAATATTTTTTTGCTGGTAAGTACTGAGATCATCGAAAATAAAATGTGTTGAGTTCGCATTCACACATGTCGCTTTTTAATGTGCCAGACTTGTATCAATATTTTCTAAAATTAGTTTCTTAGATTTGCGCGAATATTTGACATTTTAAATAAAACTTTCTTTTCACACGGGAGTCTTCCCTTGGTCATGATTAAGGCTGAAAAGCATTCAAAACGTCGGGAACCAAAAAACAAAATCGATTTGCGAAAAAACCGAAAAGATAGTTTTATATCTTCAAAGGCAAGTTATACTTGTTATATCATTAAAATATTATATTGTACTAGCGACTTACCCTAGCTTTGCTCGGATTACTCTGCCTCTTTCTTTAGCCTATGTGTTACTCCAGGTTATATTCAGCCGTTCAGCCATTTCAGTGTAAAAGATTAACTAACACACACACACACGCACGCATTCATGCACGCACACATACAAACTATCATATTTACAATAAGTAAATGTAGTGAATAATAAAAAAAAGAAAAGGTAATGCTCGATAAGTCTTTATTTCCAAATTCACATTACATTGATTGAATGATGAATATCATATTGATAATAATTAAACACTTAAGTATTACTGCATACACAAACATTATTCGAATCGCATCTGCCGTATTTGAAGCCTAAAATAGCACATAAACGAGAGCACAGTAAAGCAGGGCATGAATTACGCTCCATATTATTTTGAAGAACCTCCAAAGGACTCAGAATAGTGGGATGGGTGTCTATATTTTTGATGAACAATATATCTGAAATTAAAAAAAAAATCTACTATTATCATATATCATACTAGCGACTCACTCTCGCGTCGCTCGGTTTCGTCCCTAGCTTGGTTCCCCATAGAAACTTTCATCCCCATTTTCACCCCCTTAGGGAATGATTTCCGGGATAAAAAGTAGCCTATGTCCTTTCTAGGTTCTCAAACTATCTTCTTGCCAAATATTTATTTTAATCGGTTCAGTAGATCCCGAGATTACTCCCTACAACGTCACAAACTCACAATCTCACAAAATTTACCTCTTTATAATTAAGATAGATAATATGTATGTCTTATTGTCTTTACTAGTTTAGTCGGTTAATCAACGCTCAAATTAATCTGCTAGATTGAATCTAAGGCCTAGGGAGCAGAATTTTTATCTTATACAACCATATATACCGACTGATAAGAAAGAATCAAAAATAAATATTACCAGAGTTTAAAACCGTAATCATGATCATTTGCACTTCGTAGGAAATAGGAAAAACAATTATTGTTTTCAAAGCAAAACTAATTTCATTATAATAGTTTACAGACGGTAAAAATAATAAAATGGTAATATAAGTAATATTTTAAAAATAAAATCATACCGTTATAATAAATGCAAATTCTGTGTGTGAATGTTTGTTACTCCTTCGCGACTAGACGTATTTGGATAAAATTTAGTGGATACCAGTGGCGAAGGGTCCATACACTTTAAAATTATTTTACTATAATTTTACATACATTTTTTTTTTTAATGTATGAATGTTGTTTTGGAAATGATGATGATGATGTTCTCCCGACCGATTCCGGCCACGGCGGCCAATCTCATTGAGACTAGCCAACTGCGCAGGAGATATTATAGTGCACAAGTGTACGCGCAGACACAAGTGCACTCTCTATTCCTGTCACTCTCATATTCTGGTGGGACGATTACTCGACACGACCAGTGAGAGTTAAGGCGCAGGACCGACGGCTTTACGTGCTCTCCGAGGCACGGGGGTGAAACACCGCCAACTTCCCAACTCCGGGCTGTTACTGAGGCTTACTATACAGAAAGACTCAATAACTAAACTTGGCCCGACCCGGGACTCGAACCCAGGACCTCCGGGTGTGCGGCCGTACTTGCTAACCACTACACCACCGAGGCAGTTTTTTGGAAATATAATATTTATAATAATAGCTTTATTTCTTTCTGCATTAATACGTACATAAAAATTGAATATCTTGAGAACGGCTTACCTCTGCTAAAATCTCACCCTTCGCCACACAAAAATAATACAATTGATTTGTAGTAACAAAGATTTCTGTTAATAATAAAATTTGCTAAAAAAGTGGCCCTGGCTGTATAGTGTAAATACAAAAGTTATATTAAGACGCACCCAGGCAAAGAAGGGTTAGTCTAAGAAATTATGATTTTACACATTTTTAAATAAATGTCATTAATGTTTTTAGAAATAGCACTAACTTACCTGGGAGTGCTTTATCTTGTTCTTCGGTCGGGGCAGCTTGCACTACGAACAGTAGTGCGAATAGAGCAACCACAAGAATGAAACTTTTGATACCCATGTTTATTTAGTTTCTGAATGGTTTTTCTGCGATGTTAATCGTTTTTATACAAAGGTTCCTGAAGATAAGTGTTATTTTACAAGTATTTGTATAATACTTAACAATAAGTGCAATTGAAAGTCTAATATACACTAGACTGCAACCATGGTTTCGTCCGCATATTACTATCAACGTGCGTTGATCGTTAAAAAGAGTTTGGTTTTATCCGCGATTCCTTTAACACCTAAGTATGTAGATGAATAAAAACCGTGTGTGTGTACTTAAGTAAGCCCATAAGAAGTTATACATATTTGGCGTAACAGAACAAAATATAGATTTTATCCCGTATGTCAAAACTCTCTGTTTGTAAAAGGGATGCCGCTAACTTTGTCATGTCGATTTTAGGCTGTCAGTGTGCGCGCGCATCGTAAAAATTTTACTTTCATATTTTTTCCAAACGTGCCAAAAGAAGTATAACTTCAAAAATATATTATCAAAATAAAAAACTCGACTGCATAAAAGCTAACTAAAAAGATGAAAACAAGTTGACGAAGGAATATACTCGTAGTATTATGCAGTCGGAGACACACACGTTTCATCCTTGCTGCGAGATGTACATAAATGTTTGTAAATCTCGTCTATAAATTTAATTTGATCTCGCTGTCCATTATTCATTTAAAAAGTACATAATTAAGTATTGTATTATATACATCTCTCATGTTTTGATAGTTTTTATTGTCTTTATAGTTTAGACTTTAGAGTATAAACTGACACATTATGAATTCTCGAATCACTTATCAGATATTTTCGAAGTCGGTGCCAGTCGATGCACAGCAAATCTAATAGGTATATTTCGATACGTAAAATACATATTTACCTGTTAGATATTCATATCTTAAAATATTGTCGGCTGGCACCGACTTCGAAAATATCTGAATAGGTAGGTACCTATCTATTCTAAATGAAAACCTCCGTTTAGTATTTTTTTACATTTTAGTGCCTGGAAGTCAGTTTTTTTTAATTTTTCCACTTTTAGTGTAGACGTAATAAGCAGGTAATTTGTAAGAAGAAAGTTTTTAATAACATATTCGATTAAACAATTTATTTAAAAAATATAATTATTGTTGATTTTTTGAAAAACCGACCAATTTCGATAAAATTTATATGGGACGTATAACCTGGGAAGAAGACCTGGGAAGTATAACCTTTGAAAAAAAAACAAATCGGTTTAGGTGTCTTGGCGTCCCCAGGTGGCGGATAGGGGAATGCCACCCGCTTAGGGCGGCGGGTGGTACCGGAGAAATCCGGCGCAGACCAAATGGCTTGGATGGGGCCGCTCGTCTAGGCCTCGAACCGAAGACGTTGCGGCCACCGGTGGTGGGACCGCTTGGTCCCACAACCGGATGATGGGTGCCCTCTTCTAGCCGGTGAGCCCCACATCACCACCTGGGGGATCAGGTGGTATGCGTAAATGCATTTCCCGACATAAAAAAAAAAAAAGATGTCTTGGCGTAATTAGTGAATATACATAAACAAAAAGATTCCGATGAATTGAGAACCTCCTCCTTTTTGGAAGTTGGTTAAAAATGACACTAACACTTATTTGTATAACGACGTTCCATTTTCTTTGCCAGTCGACAATGCTTTGAGATATGAATGTCTAATAAGAAAATATGACAAGGTATGAACTCTAATTATAGTTAAAATATTATACATCAATTTGTGATGTACTTATATGTATCGAAATAGATTTGTGTTGCTTAGCATCGGCTGGCACCGACTTTGAAAATATCTGATTAGGTATCTATTCTAAATGAAAACCACCGTTCAGTTATTTTTTACTTTTTAGTGCCTGGAAGTCGGTTTTTTTTACTTTGGCTTTTAAACATTTACAAGCAAATACAGTAATAAGCTTTAAAGAACAATTTACTACCTTCGCGTAAATCTAAGAAAGTATTACTACCTTTGATTTGTATCTCCAAAATAACCAGTGTTTTGATTTATTTAATATACAAGAATTGTAAGTAATAAAAGTATTATTTTAAACTAACAACATTTTTGCATATAAATATTCCTATTATTAGCAATACAACAATATCAAACGTGTCAAGTGGATTCAAGGCTTGCGCCTACGCCAGGGGGCTTTTCAGTATCTGTACTAAAGTGTGTGATCTGGTCAATTCAAATACAGAAAACGATATTAGGTATGATGAGTGAATATTCGTGATACTATTATATATTTGAAAGTTTGTATTATTCTTATCTTTTTGCAACCTGGCATGGCTGGCTGCAAGAAGGTAAGATACCTACATAGAAATACATACAATGCCTGACTGGCACCGACTACGAAAATATCTGATTAGGTATCTATTCTAAATGAAAACCCCCGTTTAGTTATTTTTTACAATTTAATGCCTGGAAGTCGGTTTTTTTTAGTTTTTATTTTTCCATTTTTTGTGTAGACGTAATAAGCAGGTAATTTGTAAGAAAAGAGTTTTTTAATAATATATTCGATTAAGCAATTTTAAAAAAATAATAATTTAATTGTAGATTTTTTTTAAAACCGCTCGACCGATTTCGATAAAATTTAAATGGGACCACTTGGGAAGTATACCACTTGGGAAGTATGGGATGAACATACATAAAAAAACAAAGATTAGAAGAGAAGTGAAGTGGATGTTGCTAAATACTTTAAATGAAAATAAATTTACAGAAATACGTAAAAAAATCTTATCAAATACTGGATATTTGAGTTGCGATCACTAAAATCAAATTTATTTTCTATAATAATATCTTTAACAAATAATATGAAACGCGAACTTATTTTTGCAAATGATAAAGTATGTACTGTTGGGTCTCTAATAAAACTTTGAGATATTCCTTGCTTATATTCTTATATTCGGTACTTTTATAATCGTGAGTGCGTTACATAATTTATAATCATAATTTTCAGTATTACAACCAATACGTGTTGACCTACACAGTGGTACCGACATCTCTGCAAAAGCGCGGGAAAACAAATGAATATCTGCGCCATTTTTTATTTTTTTAAACACATTCCTATCGGCCAAGGTCACATAAGTAAATGCCTTATACATAAATCATTACAAATTAATCACATATATTATTTTCTATTAAAACACTCTATAAATAAAAATGAAACCTTACAGTAGGTACCTATTGCGATAACGTAACAATTTTATTTGTATGTAAATATGTTAGTAAGAACAACACAATATTCAGCGGTACGGAACCCTCGATGCACGAAAAATCATCCTAATTTACACATTTGAAATACACATTTGAAAATCAATATAACCATCAAATTATACTTAATAATAGCATAAAGCCAAAAACTTTTTTTGTAGTTTTAGCGCGAGTGAAGCCGCGGTTTCTGCCAGTAATATAATAAATGTGTTCCATAAAACGGAATTTATTATTAACTAGCGACTCACCCTCGCTCGGCTCGGGTTCGTCAATGCTTACGTTTTAACGTTTAGTATAGACTTCTCAAAGATGAGATATTTTCCCGCAATAAAAAGTATTCTACGAGTATGTTGACCCGGATAACTCGGTATCAACATACCAAATTTCATCAAAATCCCTTAAATGGGTTTTCCGTGATGCGGTCACAGACAGACAGACAGACAGACAGACAGACAAAAATTCTAAAAACCATAGAAACGGTCTCTGTATCAATAATAATGTCCACTTCAATAAGATTTTCCAAAAAATATTTAATGTACAGATTCGGCTTAGTTACAGATTTATTATATATAGATATAGATTATTACCTATTAAAGGGGATTCACAGAAGATAAGACTTGCAATTTATAGATCTTGATAAAAATTGATAGCTGTTGCGTTTTATAATTAACATTGGCGATTGTACTGCGTAGTATATAATAATACTCTGAAGAAAATCTAATATTGAGAAAATATTTAGATAAAATTTGTAGAGGGAAAAAATATTGCTTTATATAATAAATGAAAATGACTAAATTTTATTGTTTTGTTCATACATTATTCTAGTTATGTTTATCTATACATATAATAATTCTGAGTCGAATCTGCGCATTCAATATTTTTTGTAAAATCTTATTGAAATAATCATTATTATCGATGCAGAGGTCGGATCTATACGTTTTAGAATTTTTGTCTGTCTGTCTGTCTGGAAAAGCATCACGGGAAAACCACTCGCCAGATCTTCATGAAATTTGGTATGATGATAACTAGCTATCTGGGACATATAGCATACTTTTTACTGCGTGAAAGTGTCTCATCTCTGAGAAATCTATACTAAACGTTAATTTTATTATAAAGTCTTAGAAAAAATTAACCTTATTGCGTAATTTCATGTATAAACCCCTCAGTTCAAAACGATTTTACTCATAATACAAGTGTAGATAGATCTATTACTCCTTAAACTAGATGAGTATTCCTTGAATACTGTAATTCATAATAATATGAGAAAACAAGTAGTACAATACTCGTACACACTTATTTATCCATATATTACCTAGTTTTAACGTTTTAATTAAAGGCATAACATTTTATTATACAAAAATTTTGGTGAAATTAAATGCGACATTCAAAAGAATACTATAATCTATGAACACTGAATATTTGTTGCGACCAAACCAAAGCAAACCATTAGATACAACATGTTAATTTATAGATGCGTATGCCGTTGCGAAATTGGTCAATTGCTGGGAGAATCGCAAATGGAATAACCGTCCCGCAAACTTTGTATTAAGTCCCATGTTCGTTTAGGCGTTAAACTAAGTCGGGTATATTGAATCAGAACGAATATTACATAATAATACTTGTAGAATATTTTGTTATATAGATGTACTATATCTCAGTAAATTAATCTCGGATTACTACTAGAAAATATCAAACGAAATCCCTGTATTGTTTATTTACAAAATTATGATTACTTCATAATGTATTTATTGGCTTTATTATATACTAGCGACTCAACCTCGCTTCGCTCGGGTTCGTCCCTAGCTTGCTTCCCA